TTGAGTCAAATCAATTAGTAACAAAATTATTCGATTCTGATCATTGGATTATGAGAAATAGTTGATTTTTTAAAATCAGCCACAATACCCATACCCACCATAATACCCATACTTACTTTATGTTTACAATATTCACAATAAATATAAATTTTAAAAAAATCAAAGTTTTTTATTTTATGATCACATTTGTAAACATAAATAATTTTTATTTAATTAATAAATCTTTATTTGTGATCATTATTTTTTCAATGTGAACATAGTAAAAAAAAAAATATGCTTACAAAAATTATTATTATTATTAGTATTATCATTATTTGAATTTCTATCAAATTCTTGGTATGAGTAATGATTAATTTCATAATGCTTTGTTAAATAAGATTCCAAGATAAAAAAGAAAGACACGAAATCATGATTTGAGAATACTATACTTAAAAAGACAAATACTGTATAAACAAAATAACAATAGATTTTCAACATCCGAAATTTTGTGTGGATTGATTCTTAAAAGGATAACAAAAGTCTATTAATACGGAAGCAGTTCAAAATATCGTGATGTGAAAATTTTAATGAATCTTAAAAGTTGAAATGGATATTTTTTATCCAGGTGATAAAACGCCTGTAATTTACAAAATATTGTTTATATTGGCCCTTTCAAATTTGTAACTACGTATGTATGTACATGTATTTAAAATAAAAAGCTCATTATGATCATTACGTACGTACGTACGTATATATAGCGATAGTGCTCATATAGGTATTAAAAACCTGAACCCGAGACCTCGATACAGGGCCGATGATTTTCTGCGGTGGTTAAGACTAAATTCTGCGTGTGGTTAAGACAAATTCTGTGATTTACTGTGATAAATTTTTTTGTGCAGTTCTGTAGTGCATTTTGTAATTTCTGCGTAGTTCTGTGATACCATTTCGTAATTTCTGCGATTTGATGCGATCTAATTTTCCTAAAATTTGATTTATTATGATTTATTGTCTACTTTTCCGGGATTGCCGGGTCTGAATTTATGGCCAAATCCTGTGATACTTTGTGAATCCTGCGATATTCTGCGCATTTTTTTAGATTCTGTGACATTCTGCGGTGACTAAGGGTGATTTCTGTGATTGGTTGTGATTAAGAGAAATTCTGCTGTTTTCTGTGAATCACAGAAAATCATCGGCCCTGCCTCGATATCAATCAATCTGGGAAAAATTATACAAATATGACGCTACCGTTACTTAATTTTACGTATAATAACAGAGTTACTGTATACAGCAAATTTATACGTAGATGCAGTATCAAAATATAACATGATTCTACCCGGGTTTGGTTCGGAAGTGATTTTTATGCTAAATTATCATTGCTTGGACCAATCAAATTACTAATTTACAAAATTTTGGGATTCAAAGGGATTCAAGAAATATGTTATAAAGCAAAGTGTGAACTTTTATTTTCTTAAAGAATTTCTTACATTTCTTAAAAAGGATAAGACACATGAGCCTTTCAAAAAAGTATATAAAAAAATTCGTTATCAATTATGTAACAACTCTGTGTAAAATCCACTGTCTCTGCTGTTGGTTCGACCAGAATTACATTTTCGGAGCACTTTGTTCAACTCATACTGTCATACAGGGAGGTTCATGATCAGATCATTTATAATAAAATCATAGCGATAGTCAACTCATTAACGTTAAGTAAATCTACCCAGATGATAATTTTGACCCAGAAATAGTTGGCATGTATGCCAGTGTTATGCAGATTAGCTTCGAGCACAAGTTACACGGAGTAAATGTTTACTAGAGACTCGGATTTAGTTTAGTTGGAATGTACGTTATTACTTTATTTCTTATACAACAAGCAGGACGATATATCTTTTCTTTTACTTTCAAAAGGGTTTCGAACCCTCGCCTCGCTGTGGGTTACAATCCCCCTCCGAGGGTTATTCATCCTTGTTGAGGGTTATTCACCTCGATTATACATTTTCCGAGTCTTGATCCAATAGTAAAAATAATTATCAGTTTATCATAACACCAGCCTAAATGGAAATTTGGGATCCTCTTGCAACAATTTACGTTTACATTTTCCTGACTATATAACAGAGTTAAACTTGCATACATGTCCAATAGAAATATGTAGCGATAGGCAATCCCTTCATTTGGAATTACTAAAATCAGGGTTATAGTCATAAATTCAGTATGATCAACATTTATGGTGATGTATACTTAACGTTAAACAATATCAATATTGATATAAATCAATACGTATAAATATCTAACGCCTCATCTTAATAATATTAAATTATATAACGATAAACCACCTTTTAACCGCTTAAAAATAAACAAGATATGAAATCTTTTATCGAAGTTTCAGCCGATTCACATTTTCCTATCCAAAATTTACCATTTGGAGTTTTTTCAATTGCAGAGGATGAAATTGTAAGTAATTCAAATACAAGCTTCATAAGTGGGATACAGGCTTCATAAGTGGATTTTTTTTTGTTTTACTCTTTTCACCGAATATATATTTATATATATATTTTGATAGTCGTCCGCTCGCGTTGGAGTTGCCATAGGCGACCAAATTTTAGACTTGATAGTTATATCCAAATTATTTGAAAAACATGTTCCAGAATTGGGTAATCCAGCATTGGTTTTTTCTCAGGTAATAAATTTAAATAAATTTTGCTTTTTTTAAAATATAAAATTCTAAAATAATTTAGATGATTAATGATTAATAAAGAAACATAATTATTATTATTAAAATTGAATACAGTCATCGTTAAATATGTTCATGTCATTGGGAAAACCAGTATGGCAAGCTACACGAAAATTCCTACAAGTTATTTTATCCGAAGATAATCCAGAATTACGAGATAATAAAGAACTTCGAAATCAAGCATTTATTCCCCAAAAACTTGCAAAAATGCATTTACCGGCTAATATTGGTCATTATACGGATTTTTATGCTTCAAAGGAACATGCAACTAATTGTGGTATTATGTTGAGAGGGAGTAGTGCATTGTTTCCAAACTGGTTAGCAAAACAAATATATATATATTGATAAATTTTAGAGATCACTATTTTGAATCTAATAAAAATAATTTGAATTTTTTTATATAGGATTCATTTACCAGTTGGATATCATGGCAGAGCATCTTCAGTTGTTGTCTCTGGAACAGATCTTTTGCGTCCTCGTGGTCAAAGATCACCAGGAAAAGACCAACCTCCGGTTTTTGGTCCATCTATAAAATTGGATTTTGAATTAGAAATGGTAACAAATATATTTATTATACGTTATATTATACGTAGCAAGCATTAATATATATATATATATATATTTGATATCATATTTATCGTATTTTTTGTCATATTTGTAAAGGCATTTTTCGTTGGTACTGGAAACAATCTCGGCGAGCCAATTCCAATCCAAAAAGCAGAAGATCATATTTTTGGCATGGTTTTGATGAATGATTGGAGTGGTAAAATTTTAAATTTAAATTACTTGTAATTTTTTTTTTAATATTTCGATTTCATTGCTAACTCTTGTTTTTCTTACAATTAGCTAGAGATATACAAGGTAATTATAAATAAAGATCTTAAATGTATTTATTTTGTAGACACATAAATTAAATATATTAACGATTAAATATATAAACAGGATGGGAGTATGTTCCGTTAGGTGTGTACTTTTTTTTTTTTTATCTAAATCAATTTTCAATTGTACATATTAAAATTTAAATTTCAATGTCATTTAGGTCCTTTCCTTGGTAAAAACTTCGGTACTACGATTTCACCATGGATTGTTACACTTGATGCCTTGGAACCTTTCTTGGTGGACAGACCTCATCAGGTTTATAATATGTTTTTATTTTTTTACTGTTTTACGTAATTTTGTTTATGGTATGGTACATGTAATAAAAATATTTATGAAAAATGTAGGATCCTACACCATTTCCATATCTTCAAGAAGAAGGAAAAACAGCATATGATATTCACCTTGAAGCTAAAATGAAACGTAATATATTCAAACAAAACTTTATTATTTATTTATAGTAATTTAGCGACAATATTGGATAATATTGTATTAATTTTAATTTTTAATTTTATAGCAAGTAATAATGATACACATAAGACTTTAACCCGTTCAAATCTTAAATATATGTATTGGTCTATTAAGCAGCAACTTGCTCATCATACAATCAGTGGCTGCAACATGCGCACAGGTGATTTATGTGGTACTGGTACTATAAGTGGCCCAGTGAGTTACTTTTCCATTATTTAAATTATCTATTTTTATTTTATATTTTACGTATTTTACTTTATTCATTTTACTTTATAAATACATACTTTACTAGTCTGAAGATGCAAGAGGATCATTATTAGAAATTACATGGAACGGAAAAAATGAAATTGACTTTGGAAATGGAGTTAAACGTTTATTTGTTGAAGATGGAGATGAAGTTGTGTTAACTGGTTATTGTCAAGGAGAAGGATATAAAGTTGGGTTTGGCGAATGTAGTGGTAAAATATTACCTGCTATATCTTCGTAAAGGAAATTATTTCAATTAATATGTTTATGATTGGCAATACATATTATAAACATGCACATGTTATGTAATTTTAGTATAACAGATTAAAAGTGATATATTAACAAGTCTTTATTTACAAATAAATCTAAAATCAAACATGAAAGAATTTCTTCCCAATAAAAATATAAATAAAAATATTCTTTAATAACTCTACATGCCTATTCCGAGTCATCCGGTTCTATCGGTGGTAACATCGTTGAATTGCAAACATAAAAACGTCCACTAGTTCCATATTTTTCAAGATCTTTTACCAATGCAACCATTGCAAGATACGATCCTACAGGCCAATCTTTAATTTTTATCGTGAGTTTCCCGACCGACGCATCCTATAAAATTGGTAGATCATTTGTAATGACATATAATAGTTATGATAGGTGGGTAGTCATGGCGAAAGAATGTCACGGTGACGTGATCGGCGACCACTTCCGACTCTGATAATACAAATTACGTACTATGTTAAAATGATTATTAGTCTACGTATGAAAGACTAATACTGTAATAATTATTTCAATGTAATACGTAATTTGTATTATCAGGGTCGGAAGTGGTCGCACCGCGACATTTTTTCGCCACGACTAACCCACCTAGTTAAGATAATATTCAAGATTATAAATCTTTTTGAAAAATATTACTTAAAATGATACTTACAACAACATTCTTGGAATCTGTACCAAGACTAAATGAGGGATTGTCATACGATAATATTCTGACTTTTACTTTTTCTATATTATTTAAAAAAAAAAAAAATTTTTCCATTATTTCAGTGAAAGTAGAACGAATAAAATTAAAACCTATCATAAGAAAAAAGCATGCACCATTGGTAATTGAAGTAGTCCAGCTAATGGTCACATCAGAAGTCTGATGATAACATTTGCCACTTTCTGGTGAGGTAATTTTGAATGGAGAATCATGGTGAGACTCCTTTCCTTGAGAACTCGAAGGCGTCAACTTTGGGGTTGGATCACTTTTTTTTTGAGTTGAAGCAGGTTTACTATCTTCGTGAGATGATGAAGGTTTACTTTCTTTAGAACTTTTTGTGTCTGATGCAGGTTTACTATCTTCGTGAGATGATATAGGTTTATTATCTTTAGAACTTGTGTCTGATGAAACGTCATATTCATTGGATTTTCTGCGTGATAAATGTGGTAATGCCAAAACAGCTGTTGAAGTGAGAATCGCAATACATAAGAATACGATAAATGAAATTTTCATTTTGATATGATAACGGCGACAAAATGAAACAAATATTTTTGAATATTCTGTATAAAGAGAAAAAAGAGTATATGCGTGTGTGTGTATGGAAGTTTTCATCTTGGAATTTTTTATACTTTTTTTTATCATATAAGATTTTAGGCGTAGTAGGAATTGACTTTGGAAAAAACCAATAGCACCCAAAGCCTCTTCGTGAATGTTTTCGGAAAGGCTTGGTCAACACTATAATAATTTTATTTCAAAAGGCTTTGTTATTAATATAAGAACCTATATTATGTTCTCGATAAAAGTTATAAATCTAAAATGAAAACTTCGCGTGTAAAAACACTTTTAGCAACAACCTATCATTTTTTAATTATGTGGCTAAATCAAAATTCATCATGCAAAGCCTTAAAAACCTCGGTTTAGAAGTACCCTTCACAAATGTTCTTTATTGGTGGGCAAAAAGTCAAATTCCTAAAGACTTTTGTAACCTTATTTGTTGTAATTTCCTAAAAATCTTGTAATCCTGTTCGTGTAATACATATTTTCACAATACTAACATGCAAAAAAGAATTTCTTTTTTATTCTACACAATAATCAGTGAAGCCCCTTATTCAGATTGGAATTCAAATTTAGATTTCGCATTATTTTCTAATTTTGTATTTTTTATTTTTTTACCACGCCCACGGATGATTACTTACATAGCTTTCGTTAAGGAACAAATTGAAACCGAATATTTTTAATTTTCATGACGTTAAACGTTAAAAATATGTTGCTTGCTTTATCTTTATTACGATAAGTAAGAAAATAAGAAGATTTATCACGTGTTTAATTTCGATTCTTTATCTTACAGTACGTAATTTTCTCTGCCTCATCTTTTTAAAGTAATTTGATCTAATTATTTATTTATTTACAATTCGAATTTACAATCTGAATTATCGATCCAGTACAATCTTTCTTTGCATTTCATGTTTTCCAAATCTCTCGTATCCATTTTAGGATAATTATAATGCAATAATCTTTTTTGGAATTCTGTAATAAAGCTTTTTTTTATTGTTAATACGTTTAAGGTTAATTTTTTTGAATATCGTGGATCGGCGACAATTTTTCAAGAATTAGACCTTGAATTGTCTATTGATCAGCAAAAAATGCATATTTCATAGTGTTAATCATATACAAAATCGTATCATTAGTTTGTTAATCATTTGATATAAGCATTAGCGTTACGTTAGAGTGCCTTGCCGATTATTTCATGTGACAGAGTCTTCTTAAAGGACGTGTTGATCCAAATTTTTTTATTCGATCTTGATCACGTTTCTTTATTTTTATTGGTCGAAATTTCATTGCCAAAAAAATTCATGTTTCTATCGCTGAATATTGACATTACTAACTAGAAAGCCGAAAATTTTCTATATATTGTATCATATAATATAATGTTACAAATTTTTATCTACATAACAATTAAAAAATAAAAAAATTATAAATAATATAACGATAAAAAATCGTAAACTGAAAGAATAACTTGTTTTTACAATTTACAAGGTATTTTGTAACTGTACATTTCAGCGGGACCATAAGGAAAAATGCAAAAACCTGCATTTGATGGAATATTATTTTTAGAGGGAACAAACTATATATTGTATCTCTATATATTTGGAGCCAAAAATAACATGAAAGCAAAAAAAAACTAAAGTAAAAAAGAGAAAAATAAAGAGCGAATTTCTAAATCTATCTTAATGTACCAATAAAAATATCGGGAAGGCAATTTTTGGTTAAAGTTTGGATAGTTTCATGACATACGTACTTGGCTTTTGTGCTGTACAGACTTCGGATGGCCATTGATTTTGACTCGACCCAGGTGCCACGAAGGGAAACCTGTAAATTGATCGAACTCAGCCCCTGAAAAATCTAATTGTATTATGACTTTGGTAACACCGTCCATAATTACAATTACAGATTACTGTATTACGATCAAAATTATAAAAACAGTTGGGGCTGAGTCCGGCAGAAAAACCTGATTCGCAGGTTCTCCTCATATCGAGTCATTTGTATAGAATTCTCAAATACGTACGTATGAAAAAAGATCTTTAGTGGACCAAAAAGTGAAATAGTGATGGCACAAACTTTGGCGGTCCCGTGACTAATTAAACAACAATGATATTCGTCTAAAAATTAATGGCTGTATTAATATAAGGGCTTTATAATTTATCTCTATAGCAATGTATCGCTACCCTGGGTTTAAGTCAATTCCAAAAATCAAAATCCCGAAACTTAATTGTCGCGTCGCGTGATGTTGGAATTTCAATATTCAAACTCCGCTCATGATTAATAATCTATAGGTAATCTATATTACTAATCATGAGCGGAGTTTGAATATTGAAATTCCAACATCAAGCGACGAGACAACTAAGTCGCGATACATCGCTATGGCGATAAAAAAAATAAAATCTTTAATATAAAATAGAAAGAATATATCTAAATTTTGAGCTGAAAATTTTTATTTAATAAAAAAGGCTAATTTCTCTTGCGACTTTATGAGTTTTTTGTGATTTCTTTTTTTTTTCGTTTAATTTTTTTTACTTCGCATTTGTATGTTACCGATCTTACAATCAGATGGATAGCAATATCGAGAGTCTATTAGTCAATTCACTATTTCGAGAGGATTTTTATATAAATTGTTCTTCACTAAACAAGAAGTTCACTATAACGAGAGTTCATTATAACTAGAGTTTACTATAACGAGAGTTCACTATAACTAGAGTAACTTGTATATGAAAATTCCGTACGTACATAGGATGGAAAATGTTTTTTATTACGTAATTAAAAAAAGGTGATGATTATGTTTAATATATTTAAAAACAAATTTAACTATTCGGAACACCTGTTTTAAATCGGTAAAAAAGTAAATTTTATCCTTAATTTTATGGGAACGATGTGGAACTGATCAAAATTGGTAATACTTCTTATAACGGCAATTGAGTATCAGATGGTTTAAGTGAAAAGTATATTACAATATAAATTTTTAAGATTTTTGAATTTTTTCTGCTCTAATTTCTTCTAAAAGCCGAGGTTGATTTTTCAAAGCAGCTAATCTGTATTATTCGCCCTTCTCTTTATCATTTGGTAGTCCTAGTTTCCCGTTCCAATAAATAGCATCTATATTAAAAAGTGCAGCGGGATCCTCATAGTCTGCTGCCATCAGGTATTTCATTACATCAAAAGTATTCTTACTTTATATTCAAGAAGAATAAATGCGTAATGAAGTTGAGCATCCGAAATACCATTATCCGCTGCCTCTTTAAAAAGACCAAGTGCAGTCTAGACCCATTCATTCCAGTTGACAGATAATAACCCTTCCAATATTTAAGTACGTTATTTTCAAGATTTGCATGCCCATCAAAGCATCTCCAAACAACATCATAGCTTTTAGTTTGATATTCTTTAATACCATTTTCGAGGAACATCAAGGATGTTAGGATGTGTCATGCTGCAATTTTGTATACTGCTTGCAACTTAATTGGTTGTACAGAATGTTTTTGTATATATTCTGGAGTAATTATTTAAAAAACAAACTAAGTTTGGCCAAAGTTTTTGATCAATATCCGAAAATTCTGAACCATAAATTGAAACAATTATTATAAAATTGCATTGATTAACTATATAATGCATAATTTTTAAAACTATATTATTTTTATTGTATAATTGATCTAAAATCACATATTGTATAATTGATCTAAAATCATATAATTTACTCTATTGTATCAATAATCCTGAAAACTCTAGCCAAGTCCAACTATGCCTATTTTTTTTAGAGTTTTGCTATTTCCACCCCCCTATTTTTGCTAATGCCACCCCCCAAAATTTAAAAGAGTGCGCCGGAAGAAGTATTGCTATTAAGAAAACTCACCTTTTAGTATTAATAAAAGTTGTTCATCAGGCCTTGACTGGTAATTTTTTTAAAAAAGTGAATGAAAGTTAGCTAACTTCGGATATAAATATCTTAGAAACTACTGGTCCGAGTGTAGCAATTTTACTATCATTAGAACCAGAAAGGCCTGATGAACAACTTTAATTAAGATTAAAAGAAGGGTTTACTTAATAAGAATATCTATTCTGGAGCACTTTTTGATATCTGGGGTGGCATTAGCAAAAATGGGGGTGGAAATAGTCATTTTCTTTTTTTAATGTGACTGTTCAATTTTGATCTATATATAAGAAATAAAGATTTAGCAATAAGACATGGTGATAAATAAAGTGTTGTTCATCTAGTAGAATCTAAAATATAGAGATAATGTGTGATATTTAAAAAATTAACTTAAATATTTTTTTTATGTCTATATAATATATTATTATTATATTTTAAATAATTAATACTATATAAATATAGAACTATTAGATGTGATATAAAATTAGAATGCTTATAAATATTAGAAAAATTCTATTTAATCTAGGTTAAAATGATCTTTAACAAAATTTTAGAGTTAATGTAGATCAGAATTATATTGATGCTGGCCAAAATTTTTTAATATATATATACTAGTAATTATAAATAATGCAGTAAAAAAAATTATTAAATTATATTATCTTATGCAATTTAGAATAGATTTTTTTAAAAAAAAAATACAAATAATATTAATTTACAAATAAAATTTTTTAAAAAAATTAATAAACTAAATTTTTTAGAAGTATAAGCTTTATTTTAATTTATATACTATATTATTTTTGCTTATTTTTATAGTAGCACAACTATAAAATAAAAAATTTTTTATATTAAAAAATTTTTTTTAGTCTTAAGGTAACCTCTTTGATCAGTACTATTTTATTATATATTTAACAGGTTACATATTACAGTACCAATCTTGTATCAACTATCTATCAGTTAACCGATTTGTCATATAGAGTGTCTTCAATTAAAAGGGCCCATTTTTACAATTTTTCAAAAAATGGGTTTTTGTTAGATTCATATAAAATTTGACATGATTGATATTTTTCAATTATAAATGAAAGTTGATTTTCTT